CAGGATCAGTGCCGCTTTCCAGCTGATCGGTGCTTCTTTGGGGCTGTCAGGGCTCAGTGGAAGCGCCAGGCTCCAGATGGAGCTCGGCGCTGATCCTGGTGCTTCTGCTGAGCCCTGAAGAAGCACCAATCAGCTGGAAAGCAGCACTGATCCTGACGCTTCTGCTGGGACCAGAAGAAGCGCCGATCAGCTGGAATGTTGCAGCCTCTCCAGGGTCTTGTGATTTACACTCAGATGCTTGGCAACTGATTCATATTTATGACGGTCACAGTGTCCCAGGGTCATGTGAAGTGACCAAAACCTGCTGCAACCACCCAGCAGACGGGGGGAATAAAAACCAAACACCCCCCCACCCCACCCCCGCTGCCAATCCTCAACAGAAATGCTCACAACAATGAAAAGCTCAGACAGGAGGAAGAACGCCACCGGGTGGGCAGGCAGGCGTCTTGCTCGGCTGTGCCCTGGGGGGCACTTTTTTCAGTGCCATTGTAACTTCGAACAGTCACTAAGCGAACTGTTGTAAGTTGAGGACTACCTGTACTTTATCACTTTTTTCTTTTTTGGGGGGGGGTCATCAAGATTTTGACACCTTGCTAGGCAACTGGTGGTACTCGGATGTTGCCATATCCTAAAAGTGGCACAATGGGTGAAAAGGTTGAAAAGCCCTGGTCTATGCAAAAGGTGCCTGTCTCCTGCTCCTGCCCCCAACTCCTTTCTGCCTGAGGGCAGACCTGAAGCCTTCAACTGAGGGAGAAGGCCAGGCCCCTCACACCCATGTCCATCCCGCCAGAGCTCGCCACACTGGGGGAGAAAATGACCCCATTGTCCCCGGAGCCTCGGAGGCCTCCTCCAAACCACCTGGAACGGGGGTCAGGAGAGGGTTCTGCATGCCTCCAGAGGTTGGATCCAGCGGAAATGGGGGGGGGCTTCTACATGCCTCCGGCAGTTGGATCCAGGCCTTGGAAGCTCCGTTCCGGGCAGCAGCAGCTTGGAGCAGTCCTCCAAGGGCTGGATCCAACCTCCGGAAGCATGCAGAAGCCTCACCCAATCTCTTCCAGGGGCGGCGGCCACGTGGCTCCGGAATTGGGGGGGAAGCAGGAGGCAGGCACCGCAAACAGTGTGAGAATTCAGGCATCCATTCTCTGCGAAAGAGGATTGGTGCCTGAACCCGCACGATATTATGGCACCCAGGGGCTTCCACCGACCCTCCTGTCCCTCAAAACCAGGGACCGCAGCAGAGAGGAGACAGATCTTTTCCAGGTAAGTGAGTCGAGTGCAGCAAGAAGGGAGGGGGAAGCATGAGGTATCTTAGTGGGTTGGGGAGGCCTTGGGGGCCTGTTCCATCACTAGGCCCCCCACATGGCTTTCCCCACCCGAGATACCTCACGTGCACTTAACAAACGGCCTGGGTTTTAATGAACAAGGGAGTCATCTCATTCGAGGTACAAGATTCACTCCCACGAGTTTTCGAGTTACGAGTGGAATGGGCAGGCTCCATTAAACTCAAGAACTACCTGTATAAGCTCTGTTTTGACACTCCGTCACTATATGTTGGGTAGTTTGGTTTTTGACTTTAGGATAACCCCTAAATCTGAACGAGCTCTCTATTATAAGTTCTCAATCTTGCAATTTCTTCGGAACTGAAGATGCTTCTTGGATGAGAAGTGAAACATTTTCAAGAAAAAAACTAAGAAAGTCCAGTTGCCTTTTGGAAAAGCACCTTTGGGATAGCCAAAGGACCCCGCAATCCTCCTCCATCTCTCTGCAAACCCCCTCCCTTCTCCCCTTGTAGCACTGATGATGGTATCTACTTGTGTTTCTCAATCTTGCAACTTTAAGGTGGGTGGACTTCAACTCCCAGAATTCCCCAGCCAGCATGCTTCCAGATGGGTGGACTTCAACATGGCAGGCTGGGGAATTCTGGGAATACGCACATATTAATGTTGCTAAGGTTGAGTGATCCTGGTTTATTGTCTCCTTGCCCATGAATGTAAGCCGCCCCACCCAACCTATACCAACTACCGGGTGGAAGCGAGGCATGCAACTTGCAGGGCCCCCCCCCCCGATCAACACAGCTCGAAATCAGAAATGCAGGAACACACCAACACGCCTGTGTCCGAGTCGATTGTGTAGGACGAATTCTTGAAGATGGTGCTGGTTTTGGGATCCGGGGGCATCTGGATGTCATTCTTGAACCACTTGAAAGTCGGCCTGGGGTTGGCCTCGGTCTCCTCACATCTGAGGACCACCTTGTTTCCAATGGTCACCACCGAAGGAACGTGGGCGGTGGGCTTGGTGGCGGGCACTGCCGAAGAAGAGAAGGGCTCACAGGTTAGAATGCCAATTTTGAGAGCATGAGTTGCCACATGCGCAAAATGGCTGCCGTGGGAAAGTTGTACAGGCAGTCCTCAACTTATGACAAAAAGGTACTTACTCGTAGTTTCAAAGTTCCAATGTCCTGCCCTCCCCCCACCCACCCTCAGTCACATGACCTCAAATCAGCCATTTGCAGTGCACGGGATGGAGATAAACTGGGGTTTAGTTCCAGTTTGTGGCAAAACCCGCCACATGGCAACACAATGAGTTCAGTTAATTACCACGGCATTCACTCTACAATCGCCACGTTTGCTTAATGACTGCCACAAAAAAAAAGAAAAACAAGAATTGGGCCGTGTGATTGGCTTTAGAATAGAATGGAATGGAATGGAATAGAATAGAAGCTGGAAGGGGCCTTGGAGGTCTTCAGCCCCCCGCTCAATGAATGTTAGGTGGACCCCCTCTTCTTTGGGGCAGCCCCTCAAATACTGCAAGATGCAATATCATGTCCCCCCCCCAGTCCTTCTTTCCACAAGACTAGATTGACGCAAGTCTTTAGTTTTCTTGCTAAAACGTTTGCAAGCCCTTTCATAAAGCCCCCCGTTTATGTTTTGCAGAGCTCAAACGATCCCTTCCTCCAACTCAAGAGTGTCTGGGCACCACCCCGACTGAGAGTGGGGTCCCGACTTCTAGGCCCAGGGCGTCCTTAAGTGGAACGGGTACCTTGCACAACCAGATGCAGCTGCGACTGTGAAAAAGAGTCTCCGAGGACTTCGCAAATGTACAAGCCTGAGTCTTTGCGGGTGACCGACGTGAGGTGGATCTCATACGGGGTGAATGTGGCACGATCCTTGTAGTTATCTGAAGAAAGGCACACAAGAGAAAGAAAAGAGTCAGAAAGAATTCCGCTATATCTGTATAAAGTGATTCTTATTCTCTTTAAGTTGCTTCCTCTTTGGGCAAGATGCCTCTGCTTGCTTGTGTACATAAATACAGGTAGTCCATTTAGTGGCCGTTTGAAGTTAAACATTAATGAAAAAGGTGATCTAGGACCATTTTTCACACTTATGACCATTGCAGCATCCCCCCAGTCACGTGATCAAAATTCAGACACTCGGCAACTGACTCATACTTAT